AAAAAAAAAAAAAAAATGGAAATCGAAGGTGTAAACGAGTATGATCCATATCGTGGATCACCTCTCGAAAATTAAAAATTCGATATGTTCGATCGTAGAGAGAAAGAGAGAGAGAGAGAGAGAGTGGTGGGTACGGTTGAAATCGAGGCACGTGTTTTATTTTATCGTAGAGTTGGTCGAGAGAGTGGTATTACTGGGCGGTTCCGCCCTGTCACCCTGGGCCATACAGCGTGATCCGTTAACGGTGAAACATCGCGTCGCCCAACAGACGGGATGCCCTGGTAACGTCGAGGCTGACGATATCGCACCGTGCCTTCGTTTGCGAACCTTGGAGGAGCTTCTCGCCGTACATTTGGACCCGCCGAGATTCACCTCTGGATTTGCTCCTTTCGTCGATGGGGCGGTCATGCCTCCGCCGATCAATCAGGTATCTCCCCCTCGTTCCTAGAAAAGAAAAACTTTTTCCTCCCTCTTTTTACGCGCAAGCGGAACGTTATCCTCTTTTACCTCGAGGAATTAATACAACTTGTCGAGGAGTTGTGATCCAATAGGATATATATATATATATTTTTCTCTTTACGAGAAGGACGTGTCGTGAGGGATGAAACTTATCTACTCCTTATTTCCGCTTGCTTTCTATCTTATCGTTGTATTATTGTCTTCCTACTATCGGGATGAATCTGAGCAGAAGAGACAGTTTATTGCGAGCAATATCTTTCCGAAGGTAAATACGTCGAAATAAATACGACGTTGAAATGTAATCTTCTTACGAAAGAACTTACAAACGCAATATAACAATATCGAGGAATTTGAGGGTATTTGGAAAAATTACGTATTAACGAATCTCGAAAACTTAATTTTAAAATCGCGATTTTTAAATTGAGCCCGGAATCTCCATCGACCGAATTGCCAATAATTGCTCTCTGCAGAAAGAGAAAAAGAAAAGAGAAAAAAAAATGTAAAAAAGAGAATCTGTCGAAAATCGCGAGGCGTGTCGACCCGCTCGGTCGTCAGTGGACGAGGAGACGACACGTGTAAGCGATGAGTTTGTTAATTGAACCGACAACCGACTGACAGATGTCGAGCGATGGAACAGCCTCTGGTATTAAGTTCCAACCTCCTCGCGTCTCCTCCGTTAATCGATCCTTTCTTTTCTCTTTCTCTCTCTCTCTCTCCCTCTCCTTTCCTTTTCGAAAATCGATCGAGAGTGTGTATCGGTAGGATTGCTCGTCGGTCAACTTTTAATTAAAAGCCATAAAGTACACGGTGTAATTGCAATTAACCATCCGTGCAATCGTACCTCGATCGATAGTTGCCCGCAACTTCCCTTTCGTGGGCGTCGACTTGATTGCGCGCACACACAGAAAGAGAGAGAGAGAGAGAGAGAGAGATAGAGAAGGAAGATCGATCGAGGATTCACTTCGACAACCTTCAACTCTCGAATTTTTCCTGTTTCTGGTTGCGAAGAATTTCCAGCCAACCGCCTCCTCGTCGGGTCTGATGCCCCTCGTTCCCGGCCCGGGAACCGAGTTCGCTAATTTCGGCGATCGAGACCTGATGCTCGGATTGACGTCAGAGGAGGCATGGGTCAACCTCACCGACGAGGATCTACAGGTAAGCTTAAGGAATCTTCCTTCGTTTGTATTGCTGTTTACTCGAAGGGTGCAAGGGAAATCGGGACGATCGATTTCTCGGATCCATTTTTGAATTACAATCGGGTATTGGATGAAAATGGGAGAGGGGAGGGGATATTTGAATGTTACGTTTTCTTTGGGATGGGAAAGTAACGATGTAACGTTTATCACGGAAAAATAATTTAGTGAGAGATACAGGTTAGAAGAAGAGATTACAAGATATATTTTAAATAATAATTTATTTACGTCAGAATTTTAATTAAAACGAATCCCCAAAATCCGACGAAGGATGGGGAGTTAATTGGATAATAAATTATTCTTTTTTTTTCCGGTTTTCAGCTTGTTACATCATGGAGATTTAATTTTTAGAAAATGATACCGGTTTTTATTATGATTTATTATTTCATTAAAAGTGTACATAACGTAAAAATATGACTAAATATGACAAATATTTATCATTTGAATCCCTAAAAATCTGAACGGTAAATTAGCAAAAAAATTATTGTAGCAGGCAATTAACTTAGAAAGTGGTTCGAATTTGATAAACGCACGGTAAATTGGAATTTACTTGAGAATTGGAAATGGCATTCTAAAGAAACAGATGTTAAAATAAAAGAATCATTGACAAGTCGAATTATACATCGTGTAAATTTCTAATACGAAGTAATTACTTTAAGTTTGATTTTCGAAAAATTTATCCATAATTTATAATGATTTAAATTAAAGTAAATGTTTTAAGATATTATCCGTTATAAAATTGAAGCTTAAATGCTTCTTAATAAATTTACAAAAATGTACAGTTATCCAATTAATTGTCTGCCTATATTTTGTTCAATTATTGTTTAAAAAGAGGATTTATATAAGAGTTTTAACATATACTTATTAAACAATTATCTTTCATACATATAAAAGCGAATTTTCATTCACAGTTAATACACGTATATTCGAACCACTCTCGACGATTGCATTTTCCCATATACACTTTTCCCCAATTTCTCTCATTCTTAAAAGAAAAATTATAGAAAAATAGAAAAAAATATCCCCCCTCCCTCCACTATCCACGAATACCCTCGAAAACGAGATTCGCTCTCTAAACGAGGGGACGAGCGAATAAAGAAAGTGGCCTGAAACGGAAACCGTGGTCGTGGATCGTTGAATTTAACTTTTAATTATCGCGCTTAACGAGATGCGAACTCGTTGGGATCGGTGCGCGCACCAGTCGATAATTGACGCCAACTCGATAAATTACTAATTAGCGGGGGCGGTGGCGAAACGC